TGTGAGCAAACGGTTCAATGACATAACATTCGTCCGCGAGTTGGCTGCCATAATTATAGCACTCACCATTGGACTCAGCAATGTCATCGACATGGTAAGTTGGTGATCCTGATCAGAACGATTCCCAGAAAGATTCTCCAAAGGGCTCCATCTTTCATCCGGATATAGATAGAGATATTATTCTGTTTTTTCTATATCAAAATATGTTTTTAACTGTTTTTTAATTAGTCTTTTAAGATTAATTTTCTGTATTTTCGTTTTTGTAGTTCTTTTTCGTAACTTTTGTGCGCACGGAGCATATAGTAAGTGAGAGCGAATTCAATGCTACCGGCGGCTTGGAGGGCGAGGTGGAGGAAGACGACGGTGTGGTCACCGCCGAGCACCTGCTGCCCGAATCGTTTGTGGAGCAAATGCGCGAGGCGGTGCCCACGGAGCGCATCCTATATCCGTCCTACCTGAGTAATTTCGGAATACTTATATTGATTGCGATCGCTGTAATTGCTCAACTCACCCATCTTACAAAGATACTTCTCTTGTTGTCTATTGCCGGTGAGTTCGTGTCAAATCTGCGAGTAATGCATTCGAATATAACGATAACTAAAATGCTATTTTTCATTTTCTAAAACAGCTCTGCATTGCTACTTTAATATATTCATTATGCAAGATTTTTATGCCGTGGAGGATGATTTAGCACATCAACCGTAAGTAAAATAAATAAATTAATACAATATTAGTTCATATCATTTTTGTGACCTTTATTATATGTATTTCTTCTCTTCTCAACCTCCCAAGTATAATATCTACACGATTTTGCGCTTCAGGACTTTTGTTGGTTGCTGCCCTGGCGTTGAGCACTTTGGCCAGACATGTGAGCGATAATAAATTAACAAAGATAAGATATCATTTGTAATTACATTTTATTGAAATAATATGTGTAGATGGATCACGAGGATCGGGTCATTTTCAAATGGAAAACCGAGGTTGCCGAGCAAAAGGAGACCGCCAACGATATGAGGCAGCGGAACGAGGCTCTGGTCTACAATGTATTACCTGTTCATGTGGCCGAGCATTTCATGAAGAACACAAAGCGCTCCCACGATGATTTGTACTCGCAGAGTTACGCCGAGGTTGGAGTTTTATTCGCCAGTATGCCAAATTTTTCGGGTAATATATAGAGAAACTTTAATTTTAGGTTTACTTCTAAGCATTTCGATTTACAGATTTCTACTCGGAAGAAACCGTCAATAATCAGGGGCTGGAGTGTCTGCGTTTCCTCAACGAGGTGATATCTGATTTTGATGCGGTAAGGCGCCTATACTTCACGTACATGTTGAGATACATTTTAATATTACGTTGCTAAAACACATCTCATTCAGTTGCTGGAGCTGCCACAGTTCCAGGATATCATCAAAATCAAGACGATCGGCTCCACTTATATGGGCGCAAGTGGCATTAATCTGCAACGCAATCTGCGAAACGACGCTCCCATTACTGAGCGCTGGTCCCACCTGGCTGTATTGGTGGAGTTCGCGTTAGAACTGAAGCACGCCCTGCAGGGCATCAACGAACAGTCTTTCAATCATTTCGTCCTGAAGATGGGCATTAACCATGGCCCGATAACGGCGGGCGTTATTGGTGCTCGTAAGCCGCACTACGACATCTGGGGGAATACGGTAAACGTAGCATCGCGTATGGAGAGCACTGGCAAAGCGGGCGCCATTCAAGTCACCGAGGAGACATGCAACATTCTGCAGCAGTTTGGATACACCTTTTTGCAACGTGGTTTGGTGGCTGTCAAAGGAAAGGGACAACTGATGACCTACTATTTGCAGGTTAGTAATATTTCAAGCTAATACAATGACTGAGAGATTTTTTAACGAGTTTCCAAAGTGTATGTTTTACATTTGTAACATTGTAACCCTTTACATCATGTTTGTACTTGTTGCGTTTACGTACTTACACGTTTTGTGACTTATTTTTGGTAAATTGTGACTTGTTCTTATATTTTTTTATAAAAACTATGTTTACATAGTAACGGACAGATATAAGGATGGACATGGTTCTTTCTTGACGACGCTTCGCCCTTTTAAATTATAAAAACCCCTAAACCCGTAGTCTAATAAATTTCGGTTTAATGTACATTTTGATCCTATTATGAGACCTGTACTAAGCTTCTTTGATATGATATACTTGGGAGTTATTATTTATTAATATATTTCCACGTTATGGAACATTATTTTACACTTCCGAGCCTTGGGAAGACATGCGCTTAGGGCTTAAGGGCTGGGCGCACTACTGAAGCGTTCTTAAATTAAATTATAATTTAACAGTTTTGGTCCTAAAAAACTTGTGGATTGGGGAAATGCCCCCATAAAACAATCAAAAATTACTATCGGATCATTTTGGAAAGGAACTTAGGAGTCGGGGAGCAAGTTCTCCATAAAATATGCCATAATAATGACTCAATGCCAAGGTGCTACGGATCTCTTAATTCCATATATAATATGTTATTTAAGCTTTACTATTGCATATATAATCAATCGTATATATGCATAGATATACACTTCATATGTCGTTTTATTGGACCGGTATATCGAATGTTTTCCAGTAGTTAAATTGGTACTTAAATATTTATATTGTTTTCGTCTAATATGTAAGCTTCTAGTATCAAAATGCTGATCTTTCAAATATACAATATAAACATAATTTTTCTTCCAGGGTAAATCCCAGCCGAATGCAGAGCCAGAAGGAGCACCCCCATCCATTGAGTTACATGGACCTGAGGCATTGGCTCTAGACTCCACCGGCGAACTGGAGACCTCCGATATAAAGACGCCCCTACTGAAGATCAAAGCCCAGGAGCGGTCGGCGGAGACTGAAGGAATTGTTGCTCAGGAGCCGGAGAGCTTGAGAAATGGAAATGCCGGGCAAATGGGTGGCGAATCGCAGTCTTTGCTTTAATAGTTTGCCAAATTTAATTTTTCTATTTTGCCCTTGAGTCTGTTTGAGAGAGTGTGGACATAAAAAATAGTCTAAGCGTGAAAGCCTGTGTGACTGTGTTAGTGAGAAAAAAACGTTAACTGTTAAAAAGCTATTACTCTGGCTACATATTTGTTTTTGCATCAGTATTCGTGTGATATTCTATTTCAAGCAACATAAATTAAAACTATTTATCTTATAGATTTGCTTTCAAAAAGTTTGAAAACGGCGTACCTAAGAACAAGAAATGTATTTTACATTCATGTAGATACATTGGACAAACACAAGGTATTTTAAATTATCGTAAGTCTCTTTTTGTTTAAGAAAAATTGTTATCTCATTTTCCATAACTGTAATACATAAGTTACTTTCATTTACTACTAACTTATCGATGTGTAGTTGACTAGATCCCCGAAAACCACATTTTTCATCTCAATGTGTAATATATAAATATGCGCTTAAGCTACGCGAAAATACTTATAAAATACGTTAGGTCCTAAAAACATGGTTATATAGAGAACGTCAGTTGAGAATCCGAATCCCACCACAAAAAATGCAACCCACAAGTCAGTCCAAAAAGCGAACAACGCAAACGAACTTTATTGAATTAGTTAACGAAAAGAGCTAACAAATAGAAATAGTCGAGGCGACAGCCCTGCTTTCTTGGACGATGCTTAACAATATATACACCTTCATATATATATTTAGATATAAATAAGTGTAAACTAATTTAAATATTCCAACTACATAGCATTGCATGCTCATTAGAATTTCAACGAATTAGCAAAGAACAAACGAAGAACTTACTAACCAAGGATAACGAAATCATAACAAGAAGTAGACAATTACTTGATCCTTAATCGGTTCCGATGCGTTGGTCCTCTATCTGTCTCTCTTCCCTCCATAAATTTACTTCCTTCCGATGGCTAAAGCATGACAATCAAGACGAGAAAAACGGCTTCAATGATTGGGTTTGCTTCGAGAACGTCAAATTTCTATCCACTGGTTAACTAAAACACAAAACAACCAAAATAATTTAGAAACAACTTTATTTGATAGATTTAGGGAAACGCTTTAAATTTTGTCGATATTTGTTATTTGTTTTGTTTTTAAGCTATGGCCACAAGGAACGAAATATATTTCAGCATTTGCGATTATTTTTTCTTAGCACATAAGACAAATATAAGAGTAACAAAAATGGAAACTTAGCAAATTATAGCGAAATAAATAAATTAACATCTAAAGAAGTCTGTCTTTATTTCAACTCTAAGAAAAAAGTCACTTGAATGCTTTATGGATAAAAATAAAAAGAAACTGCTGCATTTTTAAATTTAAATAAAACCGCCATACAGAGCATGTCCAGACTCTGCTCATATGAGACGCAGTTATGAGTATACGCAACTTTGAAGTCGCAAAAAATGCAGGGTATTCCCTTGAAGACTGAGTTACGAAAAATATCGGCAATGAAAACAGCTGTTCCCATACCACTGAATATCGATTAATTATGCGATACATCGATTTCAATATTTAGAATCGATTTAATCGAAAAAGTTTTACGCGCAGCTTAAGCGTAACGTTATTTTATTTTATAATTTAATATATGCGATGCCATTTAAGGTGAAGAACATCAAGTTATTACTTGGTAATTATTTAAATACAAATATTGATAGATAAAATGTGTAGTTTAATAAAACTACAAGTGTGTGATAAATAAAAATATATAATTTTAAATATTTCCAATTTCGGTTTTAATCGATCTATTCTAAGAACTTATTAGGAAAAATATCGATTTACTGAAGATCGATATGTTTCCAGCTCTACAGTGTGGCTATTTTGTTCGTATAAATCCTTTTTAGTCTCGTTTTCTTTACGGCGTACTATCGCGATACATCACCAGTAATTTCAGTAATCCAGCCTAGATTATATATATTTATTTTACATAAGAGCTATTTGAACAGCTGTGATTGTGCAGTGGAAACTCTCCTTTTTTCTCTTTCGTGTGTGTGCAGCCCTGGCAGAGCCAGGGCAACCCTGTGTTATCGTCCCCGTCTGACGACGACGACCCATCATTTTTCGATAGCAAAAAAAGTGCAAAAAATTAAATTCTCGGCGTAATTAATCAGTAAATATAATATCTTAAGCAGTAGGTGAGTGTAGCCGCCAACAAGCCACTGCAACTGCACCCCGCGGCTCCGCGTGGCGACGACTGGTCAGCAGTTAAATGGGCCGAGGGCAAGGCCAACAACTGCCAAGCTGCGGCCGCAGCCCCCACACAAAAGGCGAGCGAGCCGCCCGATTTTGCCAAAAAGCAGTCGCCTTTGCCGACGTTGTTTGAGGGTCGTTCGTCCGCTTGCAACTGCATTCGCGCAGACCGTGTGTCCCCTAATCACGCAACCATTGAGCTCTAAATATCGCACCATCCCGCAGCCAAAACACCTTCACATCCAGCCCCAGACGGAGGACCCAGGATCCAGAGCCAGACCCAGTCGAGATGTCGCTCAAGCCCAAAATAGTCGAGTTTGTCGATGTTTGGCCGCGCCTGCGCTGCATCGCCGAGTCTGTGATAACTCTCACCAAGGTGGAGCGATCGGTGTGGAACACAAGTTTCAGGTGAGTCTGGCAAACCCTGCACCAGGGGTCAAAACAATAGCACCCACAAACTAAAATTGTGTGAGGAAGTGGGAAGAGTTGCCACAACCAATTGGAATACACATATGTGTATCAACCTAACTGTAGGATCGCCAATGAATTGCAGAAAATTTGTAATCAACAGAGCCCAATAAATCTCTCCTCAACCCATTCCAATCAAATTATGCAATAATTATGGACTCGAAACGAGTCCAGGATTGCAAATACATAAGAGTACTATTTTTTCGACCTCCACTGTTTCTATATGTTTTGTGCAGCGTGAGTTGCCAAAATTTGGGATCGCTAAAATAAAACACACTAACACATTCACGTCTTTACCTCCAACCGCCGCCCCACACCCACATCGTATAGCGACGTGTACACGCTGTGCGTGGCCCAGCCGGAACCGATGGCCGATCGCCTCTACAGTGAGACAAAGCACTTCCTTGAGCAGCACGTCCAGGAAATGCTGGCCAAAAAGGTGCTGATCGAGGGAGAAGGTTCCAACTCAAACGGCGGGCCGGACCTACTCCATAGGTACTACACCACTTGGATGGAGTATAGCCAGGGGATCAAGTATTTGCACCAGCTGTACATGTGAGTATCCAGTCGGGGAGTAACCTTGAGTGCAACGCCAAGTAATCCACGCCTCCTCCCTAGCTACCTTAACCAGCAGCACATCAAGAAGCAGAAGATCACCGATACGGAATCGTTCTACGGAAACCTGTCCAGTGATGCCGCCGAGCAGATGGAGATTGGCGAATTGGGGCTCGACATTTGGCGCCTGTACATGGTTGAGTATTTGGCCACCGAGCTCGTGCGCCATATACTGGAAGGGATTGCTGCTGATAGGGCCAGCAACGGAACGCTGGATCATCACCGCGTCCAAATCATTAACGGCGTGATTCACAGTTTTGTGGAGGTGCAGGACTATAAGAAAACTGGATCGCTGAAGCTATACCAGGAGCTCTTCGAGGGTCCCATGCTGGAGGCCAGCGGCACCTATTACACAGACGAGGCCAACAAGCTGCTCCAGCGCTGCTCCGTTTCGGAGTACATGCAGGAGGTTATCCGAATACTGGAGTACGAGAGCCGGCGGGCCCAGAAGTTCCTGCACGTCAGTTCGCTGCAAAAACTGCGCAAGCAGTGCGAGGAGAAGTTCATCAACGATCGGCTGGGCTTTATCTACTCGGAGTGCCGCGAAATGGTGTCCGAGGAGCGGCGACAGGACCTGCGCAACATGTACATTGTGCTCAAGCCGATACCCGACAACCTCAAGGCCGAGCTCATCACAACCTTCCTCGAGCACATCAAGAACGAGGGCTTGCAGACTGTCGTTGCGCTCAAGGGCGAAAACATTCACATAGCGTTCGTCGAAAATATGCTGAAGGTGCACCAAAAGTTCCAGGAGCTAATTGCCGACGTCTTCGAAAACGACTCACTCTTCCTTAGCGCGTTAGACAAGGCATGCGCTAGCGTAATCAATCGCCGTCCCACCGAGCGCCAGCCGTGCCGCAGCGCTGAATATGTGGCCAAATACTGTGATACGTTACTGAAGAAGTCGAAGACCTGCGAGGCGGAGATCGATCAGAAGCTTACCAACAACATAACCATTTTTAAGTATATCGAGGATAAGGATGTCTACCAGAAATTCTACAGTCGGCTATTGGCCAAGCGTCTTATCCATGAGCAAAGCCAGAGCATGGATGCTGAAGAGGGAATGATCAATCGATTGAAGGTATGTGTTACACTGTTAAAATGTAGTTGAAGAAGGGTTTAAGGGTTTAATCTAAACTCTGGCTTTCGAGCATTGATTCAAGAGAAGGACGAGCAAAAATAAAACGTATGACGTTGCTCATCCTGGTGTTGTGCTTTTTTGTTTCATAGATATTCAACAATGTAACCTTTTTTTAAGCAAAATAGGCTTTTTTAACTATCTGTTTCTCCACAAAAAAAATATTTAAAAAGTGGCCTGTTTTACAACCCCATATGTGGGGGAGGGGTAAGGCTAGTTCGGTGAAAAACGGGTCGAATGTATTGTGGTGAAGCGGCTAAAGTTAGTTTATTAAATTAAATAGCATAAAATCACCCGATATTAAAAAACTAGAATGCATTTGTTAAATGATAAGAGTCTTGAGGTACTCACGTGGCGTTTTTATTTTTATAAATTTTTTCCCCAATTTTTTATCAAAATTGGAAGTCAAAACCACGATTTTTTACTAAAAAATGTAGTTAAATTGTTAAATTAAATGAAACCTACCTATTCAGTAGATTTTGAGTTATCGTGTACACCGATTTTCACAATGGCATTTTTCAGGAAAAGCCTTTAAACTTTGTAAAACTCATGCATTTAACACCAACCGACCAACGTTCAACTCTGCATAACTTTGTGAATTTTGCTATGATCGATATTCTTGAGATATTGAGCCTTAAAATAAAAATATTTACGAACAAAATAATTACATACTTTACCACCCCCTCAAATAAATGTTACAATAACATTACAACAACATTAACCTGTATATATTTACATATTTAATAATTTACATGTTCTTCATTTTAACTTATAGCAAGCCTGTGGCTATGAATTTACAAATAAACTCCATCGAATGTTTACGGATATATCGGTATCTACAGATCTGAACAACAAGTTCAACACTCACTTAAAGGACACGGATGTGGATTTGGGTGAGCTGTTTTGCCATATGCTGTCTTTTAATTATTGTTTTAAAAAAGAGTGCTTGCTATGCAGGTATCAATCTCTCAATAAAGGTACTACAAGCTGGAGCTTGGCCTTTGGGATCGACACAAGTTATACCGTTCGCAGTGCCACAGGAATTTGAGAAATCAATCAAAATGGTACGTTTCAAACCTACACATCTACGTATTGAAAATAATTCATAAATGTAAGCTGACTATGTAAAGCTGCCCTGGGACGGAATGTTTTTTTATAGTATCCTCCAGAGAGGAGATAGTCTGGATCTTAAATCGCTGCTAACCTCAATAATTTGAAGCCGACATTCCGTTTAAAAGATATTCATTAAACAAGATTTTCGTGGCCCTTTCCCAATTAAATGTTTTCTGGATTGTCTATCTGTAATCTGCCTGTCTAAACCAAATCGCTCCTACATATCCTGAAACCACTTTTAAAAAACAGCTCGAACTAAACAACTTAAGGGGGTTGACCCATGTGACGGTTTCAAAAAATCGTTCATAAATTGCTTTTCTTATTTATGATCTATATGTATTTAAAAGGATTTCTCGTTACGAAGTTTCATCACAGAACATACAAATTACTCCTGCAACGATTATTTCATTTGCGTGTTTCTCGAAACCACGTTTTTCCAACTGGTCAACCCGATTTATAAAAAACAACTTAACCGATTTTCCTGAAATTTTCAGAATATGTTCAGCATACATGCGGTCATAGCATGAAATGTTGTGTCGAAACTGCTAAAGTTAGCTTAAAATATTTACAGGCTTACAAGTAATAGGGAATCTCCCGAGTCCTTAAAAAAAAAGTTGGTTTTCGGTGTACAACCTAACTGTCCACAAAAACATTCGATGTCAAAAAACTATATTGCCTACGGATAAGTGTCCCAAGGTACTCACGTTTTTATTTTTTTCCTCGATTTTTTTATTAAAATTTGAAGTCAAAACCCCGATTTTGGACTAAAAACTAATTACCAATTTTCCTAATTTTTGATCTATGATCTTGATCTTGATTTATGCAGAAGCTATCTAAAGAAGTATACGAAAGATAAAAGCAAAAGAAAATATGCCTATTTATTTTGGCCATAGCTTAATAAGCTAAATTCCAGACAATGGAAAGAAAGCCTTCGTCGATGCAAGACCTAAAATTTCTAATTATTAATAAAGGAAGTTAAAACATTAACAAGAAAGGAAGCTAACTTCGTCACGCCGAAGTTTGTATACCCTTGCAGATTGGTTTTTATGTTTATATTATAGATTTAAATGCTGAAAGCACTCACAGAACAGAGTTTCATTACATTTTACCTATACTTATTATGTTTACAGTTTGACAGTTACAGTTTTACATTCCCAACTTTATATATTTTATACAATTACCGATCGCTTCTATGGCAGCTATAATATATACTTGTCCGATTTTTATGAAATTTATACCAAAATTCTAGAATAATAAAAAAAAGCTTATATCTCAGAGTAGATAAACATACGTTGAAAAACAACGAAGCTATAATTTTTTTCCTATTTATTTCTCGATCGTTCCTATGGCAGCTAAATCATATAGTCGTCCGATTTTCATAAAATTTTTACCAAAATTCTGAAATAATATAAAATGGCCATATCTAAAAAATGGTTCAAAAATGTTGAAAAACAGCAAAGTTATAATTTTTTTTCTACAAATATATCGAACATTTGTATGGCAGCTATATGATACAGTCGTCCGATCCGGCCCGTTCCGACATATATAGCAGTGAGAGTATATAGAAGACTATATGCAATGTTTAATTCAGATAGCTTTAAAACTGAGGGACTAGTTTGCGTAGAAACAGACAGACGGACAGACAGACAGACGGACAATCGGACAGACGGACATGGCTAGATCGACTCGGCTGTTGATGCTGATCAAGAATATATATACTTTATAGGGTCGGAAACGTTTCCTTCACTGCGTTGCAAACTTCTGACTGAAATTATAATACCCTGCAAGGGTATAATAATATTGAATAGGATTAAATTTAGGGTGATAACAAATTATGCGTAAATACTTTACTTTCACCTCCTTTTGCAAAAATTCAAGAAAATTGGTCAACAATAACAAAAATAACATCGGAAAGAAGTTGGGAGGTGCAACTTGCTCGTTGTGTAAATACTTTTGACTACCTCTGTATATTCATGATCAAAATCAACAGCTATCTAAATGTAACTTTGCATATAGTCTTCAATATACTCTCACTGCGGTACGGGCCGGATCGGACGACTATATCATTTAGCTGCCACACAAATGTTCGATAAACGTGTAAAAAAAATATTATAACTTGGCTGTTTTTCAACATATTTTCATCATTTGAGATACGGCCATTTTTTATACCCTTGCAGGGTATTATAATTTCAGTCAGAAGTTTGCAACGCAGTGAAGGAGACCTTTCCGACCCTATAAAGTATATATATTCTTGATCAGCATCAACAGCCGAGTTGATCTAGCCATGTCCGTCTGTCCGTTTCTACGCAAACTAGTCCCTCAGTTTTAAAGTTATCAGAATCGGACGACTATATCATATAGCTGCCATACAAATGTTCGATAAATTTTTAGAAAAAAATTATAACTTGGCTGTTTTTCAATTTTATTCCATAATTTTTGAGATATAGCCATTTTATATTATTTCAGAATTTTTTAAAAAATTTTATGAAAATCGGACCACTATATGGGCATTTCCACAGAAATGTCAACCGCGGCCAAAGAACTAAAACTTCTCTAAAATGTTTTTTTTCCAACATAGAAACATTAGGAAAGGGTCAATTCATTAAATTTGAAGGGCTTTATCATATTCTAAAACAAATTTCGAAATATTCGAATGCATATTCGCGCAAACACGATTTTTCATTATTTTGATGAAAAACATCATAAAAATGGGCCTGTTTTCTTTTGATAATTACATCCAAACCGAGGCATTATGCTTTGATTGTTGTTTACTAACATCACAAGAAGAATGCAAAAAGTCGAAATAAAATGGATATATGCTCTTCTAATTTACTTAAATAGTAAAAAATTACATGCAAAGTATGATGATAAAAACTGTCGCGTGCGACACCTTATTAAAATTCAATAAAAAATAAACTACACTAAATTTCTGATTGCAAATTAAAGCATATGAAAATGACATTATCGCATAACATTTTAAAATTTGTTTCATTAAAATATTCCCAGCCGTTTCGCTAAAATCAGTGTTTTAACAGCTCGCCGCGTAAAGTGACTTCTGTTTTTGTCGCGTGCGAACCCTTCAATTTTTTTTAAATCTTAAAATCAACACTAACACCAATTATAGCCCTAGGCAAGAGCTATAAGTTAATATTTTTAAAAGAAATAAAAATAAAATGTACCATACTTTTTTTTTGCTTTGAATGCGTACGAATGTCGCGTGCGACACCATGGAAATGCCCATATCTTATAGCTGCCATAGGAACGATCGGGAAATTAATCGAAAAAAAATTATAACTTCGTTGTTTTTCAACGTATTTTCATCTACTTTGAGACATGAGCTCTTAGTATTATTTCATAATTTTAGTAACAATATTATGAAAATTGGACAACTATATCATATAGCTGCCATAGAAGCGATCCGTAGATGTAGAGAAAATATAAAGCTGGGAATGTATAACTCTAACTGTCAAACTGTAAACATAATAAGTATAGGTAAAATTTTGTGAAACTCTGTTTCGGCATTATAATTAATTTATAATATAAATATGAAAACCAATCTGCAAGGGTATACAAACTTCGGCGTGCCGAAGTTAGCTTCCTTTCTTGTTAATATTTCAGATATTCGGTTTTAGTTTTATGAAAATCGGACGACTATATCTTATAGCTGCCATAGAAGCGATCGGTAGATGTAGAGAATATGTAAAGCTGGGAATGGAAAACTGTAAACATAATAAGTATATTATTTTTAAGAAAAAAAATACAGCCTGGTCGTTTCTCAAAATACATGTTTCCATATTAAAATTGTATTATTTTTATTTTCCAGTTCGAGGACTACTACCATAAACTGTTTAGTGGTCGCAAGCTAACCTGGCTACATCACATGTGTCACGGCGAACTGAAACTGAGTCACCTGAAGAAGTCGTACATCGTAACGATGCAAACGTACCAGATGGCGATAATTCTGCTATTTGAGACCTGCGACAGTCTGAGTTGTCGGGAAATACAAAATACGCTTCAGTTGAACGACGAAACGTTTCAGAAGCACATGCAGCCAATGATCGAGTCGAAGCTGTTGAATGCCAGCTCAGCAGAGAATCTCGCCGGGGAGACTCGAATTGAATTGAATTTGGATTACACAAATAAGCGTACAAAGTTTAAGATAAGCTCGGCTTTGCAAAAGGAAACGCCGCAGGAGGTAAGCAGAGACCAATTGCAGTTGGAACATCTTATACCCTATGCATTATGTAATTGCTCTTAGGTCGAACACACAATCAACTCGGTGGACGAGGATCGCAAACTATTCCTGCAGGCGGCCATTGTAAGGATTATGAAATCACGCAAGGTCCTGAAGCACAATGCACTGATACAGGAGGTATAAAGAGGAAAGAAAGCCGTGTTCCATACACCTACCAATTATATTTTCCATTACAGGTTCTCTCACTATCAAAGGTTAGCTTTACGCCCAACATAGCCATGATCAAGAAGTGTGTGGAGTCCTTAATCGACAAACAATATATTGAGCGAACAGCGAATTCGGGAGACGAATACAGCTACATGGCCTAGACTAAAGCAGAGAATACTTGATTCTGAAAAACCAATTAAATACACACTGACAACAAACACACACAGAGTAATTCTTGGCGGAAGGCGGCTAACTCATCTTGTCTAAAGCCCCTCATGCATGGACAGGATCCTAGCAAACTACCATCAACCTTACGCTCAAAATATTCTTTACGGAAGAAACAAACGAACGTTTAGGCTATCTTGTTTTTGTTCTCTAATCTTGGCCGCATTGGAATAAAAGATTGTGTTGTTACTCGATACTTTATAATTTAGATTAGTTAGTTTTGCTTCGTTTTTTATTTAATGAATCGATCCTTTGTAAGTGTAGACATGTATATTTCTTTGATGTATTTTTATATTTATCACACCACAAACACACATCAAAACCCAAATTGAATTGAGTTGAAGGAGAATGTATAATAAACACGGAAAGTATATATATGATATCAACGGTATAATTCCTACCCTTGCCCCATCCTCAGCAGATACCGCATTAATTGGCTGCAGATTACACAGATTGTGGAAAAACTATATTTATTTATAAAAGATCTACGCTCAGTTGTCATCTTTTCATTGCTCATTATTCGTGTTATGTATTTTATTAAACAGCAAAGTGCTTTTAAACTTCTTTTGACCTTAGGTACAATTGGTAAAATGTTTTCTTGCTAAAAATGTATTCACTTAGTTATTTCAACCTTTTGTATTTTCCATACTACGGTGAGGCTTTGCTTTATTAAGTTCTTTATTGTGTTTGTCATTCATTTTAAGGGGGGGGTAAGGTATTTAATTTTTTTTTTTCGTAAATTTTTTTTTATTTTTTATTTTAAAAGTTCAATATTTTAAGAATATTGTGTCCAAGTTTTACATCAATCATAGTAAAATTGACGAAGTTATGCGGAGCTGAACGAAGGTCGGTAGGTGTTCAATGCATGAGAATCACAAAGTTTAAAGCGCTCTCCTGAAAAATGCCATTTTGAAAATCGGTGTACACGATAACTAAAAATATACTGAACCAATCGGTTTGAAATTTGGAACATAACTTCTTTAGATAATTCTACAGGTATTCTCGTCGAGCTTTTTTTAATTTTTAATTTTCTTATATTTTTTATTTAACAAATTAACTTAATTTTTTAGTCAAAAATCGGGGTTTTGACTTCAAATTTTGATAAAAAATAGGGAAAAAATTTTAAAAATAAAAACGCTTCGAGAATACCTCGGGACACTTATCCTTTAACGAATGAGGTATAATTTTTGTAGATCGGATGATTCTGTGGACAGTTAGGATGTACACCGCAAACCAACTTTTTTGGAGGCGACTCGGGAGATTCCCTATAACTCCTCTACCTCTAAATATTTTTCAATACAAAATTTATCACAAACTGTTCAAATGTTGTGTTATTATATGGTATTTAATTCGTTAAGCTAGCTTTAGCCGTTTCGCCACAACATTTTTTTGAAAAGTGGGCATTTTTGCACCGAATTAACCTTACCCCCCCCTTAAAATAATGTGTGAAGCTTGCAGGATACAAATGGTCTCCGAAATGATTTATTAAATAAAAAATTATCAGTTTCCATTCGGAAAACGTTCATTTTCAGTTATGGAATGTAAAATAATGAAATAGTTTTGAGTTTTAAGTATTATCAGGGACCGTAAATAATGATTATCAATGTTTTCTTTAAACAGAAAAATCATCCACTTGGAAAAACCGCAAAAAAAACTAATTTACCAATTTCAAGATAATCAATAATTGCTGCAATCTAGACTTTTATATATTAAACCAATTTTAATTTTTGATTTTTGAGTTTTAATTAATCGCTGAAAAAAAAAAATTATTTTGAGCGAAAAAATATCGCTAAAAATATATAATAATTATATTTTGAGCGATATTTTTATCGCTAAAAAAATGATTATATTTTCAGCGATATTTTTTCGCTTAATGTATTTTTTGGGTTCGTTTGTTTTCAATTTATAGGATCATGTAAATTGTTTTCAAAGAAACCTCTTAGAAAGAAAATATAACACATTGAGCGAAAAAAATAATTATTATTTTTTGAGCGATTAAGTAAATGTAAAATTATAATTATTAATGGCAAGTAAAATAGATAATCATTAAACATTAATTTTTATTTTCACTTATAATGATTACGCCCCCTGGTTTTTATTTAGTTTTCATGATATACACATATGTATATGCATATATATACTTGCATGTAGCTAACTATAATAGAGAACGGCCATGGATTGCTTTTGTTTTAAATTGTTTTATTCGTTTCACATGCTACTTTTCTAAAAAATATACTCAATAATGTTAAATCAAGTAATTGTACATATATATAATTAATTTTAATAAATACCAACTTGCTATAGCATAATGTGTAATTCGTTAATAATACTTGAAACTTGCTCCTTTGGGCGCCAGCTCCTTGCTGTTTAAAAAAATGCCGCCAATCATTACAATCGCTGCGCAGGCTTTTTTCAGTGAGTGTTAATAAAAAATATGTATCTTCCATATGTATATGTATATATATCTATTGTTTATTTTCTTCTTTATATATTTAATGACTAGTAAACGTTTACAGTTTTGTTGCTTCTTGCAGTGTTCTCCGGCTCCAAATATCCACTTTTACTCTCGTTCAAAATTTGAAAAATGCATTCTGTGGTGTAAAATCGTCTTGAGCATTCAAATTGCTTTTTTTTTCTTAGGATTGTTGCTTTTCTTAATCCATTTCGAATTGTCATTTGTCGAAAAATTCTTTGAAATGTGGAGGGCGTAACTTCGTTCTTTTCAAATTTTTTACAAATCTAAATTATACTGATCCTGGGTGTCAATTAATCTTAATATTGTAAATGGCCTTCAGCTTACGTTCTCATTGGTAGTGGCTGGCTTAAGATTCTTTTTAAGAGCTGAACCCCACCTCCTCTTCGGCTATTGCACTCTGCCCGTGCATTTTAGCTCTCCAAAGCCGTTTATCAAATTATTAAAAAGAGGGCAACCAATACGTATTCCTCGGTTACAAAAAAGTGTTTTGCAACTATGTTAAACTTCGTAATAAAATAAGTAAAGTTGTTGCTTAGAACCCTAGGCGGTTCAGTTATAGTCCAAACTATGCGTATATATCGCTCATATCTATATACGTGTATATAAATTCAGTGCTTGTATATAAGAAGTCAGTTTCTTTTGCGCCGATTTCGTTAGGTTTCTGGATTCTAGTGGCCATGGAATATAAAAGTTGCATTTATGTAATTGGTGTTGGTGTCGGAAATATTCAAGGGTAAATATGTATAGCCTCAAATGCATAGTGCCGCATGATTTTACCTTTTTGTTTATTCGTTCGTGTTTGTTGTTGGGAGTAGACAGTATAGAGTATGGCTTTCGAATGCCTGTTTAATTTCATTTCATATTACGTTTGCTTAAATTTTGCTTTGTAGTTTTACGCTTTCTTTTCTTTCAGTCTTTACGATTCACGGCTTTTGTGCTTTTTATTATTTTTTTTTTCTGTATGACCGTCAAAATTGCTTCAATTATTTTCAAGATGAGTGACCAATCAAACACGATTATGAGCACGAGGAATTGCAGAAAGGTCAGGGTGATCGATTGGGTGCAGAGATAATCTTTTGACCTTAAACACGTGAGTGCATGCAAGAGCACGGTTATTATCGTCTTCTTTGCTATTATCATATGTTTTTAGTGGGCAGTTTTCTTTTTTAGCTTCTCTATTGCTCCATAGAGACGGTTTTCGTGCGTTTCCACAGGGACTTAAAAAGTCCCTTCTTCTTCGTTTTCGTATTGGTGGTTGTAACTTCCGAGTCCCCAACATGCGTCTTGCGACTATTGCTATCCTTTCGCTTGGCAGAACCTGCAAACACCAGAAATAAGTTAAAGATCTATGTTGTTATAAAATATTAAATATAAAAAAAAAAACTCTTTAAACCATTTTTAAGATAAATAAGGGAAACAACTAACTCAAAATAGTATCTTACACAGAAGTGGGCAATGCAATAAAGAAGTCACTTCGGAATCTTAGTGTGTATGTATATTCTCTAACAGCCGAGTCGATCTAGCCATGTCCGTCTGTCCGTTTCTACGCAAACTGGTCCCTCAGTTTTAAAGCTATCTGAATGAGACTTTGTATATAGTCATCTGACTTCTCTCACTGCTATATATGTATGTCGGAGCGGGCCGGATCATACGACAATATCATATACCTGCCATAGAAATGATCAACAAAATTTTTAGAAAAAAAAATGATAACTTCACTGTTTTTCAACATATTTGCATCTTCTTTTGAGATATGATAGTTTTGATTCCTTTCTTGTTTCATCTACTATGGTCCGTTTCAGACCCTATGAGGTCACTACTGCCCACATAGGACACCCCGAAAATTTTACTTTAGATCCGAACAAAATTAAAACTTAATGAACTCTGTTTAAAATCTAAATTCCTTATTTTGAATTAAGTCCCGCGTTTTCAAGTAGAGGTAAAAAAACACAAAAGTCTGATATTTGGCTTGTCAAAAACTGTATCAAATCTATACGAGAGATATTTTAATTATTGCAGCTAAAGAGCAAGATTTGGTTTATTTCTGGTAACAATTTAATAAATTTGAAATAAAATGCCGCGTATATGTTTGTTAGGAAGTTAAGGAAGAGAAGCTCATGAAGATATGCAATGCGATTGCCGCGGAGGGTCCATTGCCACCACATAAAAAAGAACGTCTCTGAGAGATCAGCAGCATACAACAGAGTTGGAGGGCTTGTTGGTGATTCCACCTCGATGATGGGGAAGATTTTACACAAGTTCTGCGTGAAGTTTTAGTGTTTGCTCCTGGATGACGAACCACAAGCAAACTAATAGCTCGAATGACTAAGATGGCCATCCAGAAACCATAAGAAAAGCCATAACCGTGTATATAAAAATAAAACTTAGAAATGTAATTTTGTATTTATGTTTTTTATGGTTAATATTTCTTAATAAATCATAAATATTTTCATGCCACTGATAAACGAGCATTGCAAAATGACCTCGAAATGCTGCGTTTCGGCTTAAAAACCACCAAAATAACAAATACAAAAAAAAAAATCGACACTTTTCTGTATTTTTTCAACAACCAGAAATGACCTCATCTATTTTGTTTGAAAAAATATCGAACATACCCCGGGAATGTTGAAATATGTAGCAGTCTCGTTTCTCTCTTTTTATGCGGTGCCAAATACATATGAGTAGCACCTATTGCTTGATAGACTTTTTACTCATGTAAGTGGCCACAACACCGCACAAATGTACCCTAAGAATGTACAAATATGTAAAAACAACATATTGTTTTCTTGCATATTGTCATTCTTGGTCGAATTTCGGTTTAAAAATAAGAGAACTAAACAAAGATCATAAAAAATGACAGACAATTTTGGAGTGTGTATCTTTCCACAGCATTTTTTGTGGGTTGTCTTTGCCCTACTCCCAAACAAAGCGGTGGTAAAACCCCGCAACCTCAGTGCGGCTCTAATCTGCTCAAATCTCTGATCGCCATTACAATTGCATGCATTTAACTCATAAAAAGGTTTGGCTACGAAATTCCAGTCTGGCAGATTTAATTCTTCTTCTGTCCTGTTCATACCTTTACAGCCTAATTACTTGTTACAACATTTTCGATTCGAATTTTTATTTAATTGAAAAATAATTAAGGGAAACTCACCTGTTTCGAATTCATAGGCATGCTTGCTGATGGTATCATCCATGGCCTGATCACAATATGTCTTGTGCTTCCGATCCTTGTGGTTTTCTATGACAAATTGAAAATGTTGACCAGTTAGTTGCGGTATTTTTTGAGTCTTACAAGTTGTATCCACAATAAAGTTCCTAACTTTTTAATGTATTTGAAAATCGTGCTTGCTTGCTTTTCTTATTCCTGCTAGCTTTTTTCCCAATAGAGACTTACTTTTCTTGGTGATCAGCAGGCTTGTTACTCGTCGCAAAGCCTCACGCGGTGATTTATTCAAAAAGGACGGCGTCAGATTTGGTGGCAGAGTTAGAGGCTTGCGTGATTGTCCTGTGCCCGACATCCCCGCCGGATTATCCCACACCCGCACGGAAGCCAAGCGATCGATGTTCTCTGTGGAAGCTGGGCGCATGCCTCGTTGCTTTGGATACCATCCGCGGGCAGGGACCCCAGTCATCCGAAGCATCTCATTGGAAGCCAACGCGTGATTAATGGAGCGCTGACGGCAAATTTGAGCTGTACCGTAATTGCCACCTAATCGATGGAATTTCAAAGTATTGTTTAATATTCATTTATACCATGGGATAATTAAATAACTGAATCATGATCTATTCAATAACAAGCAAGGACCTTGTGGAAATATTTTGTATTTCAGAGATTATTAAACAATTCGATGTCTTCGAAAATATATTAGTTATTTTAAAACAACAAAACTATACTTTTTTCCTAAAGAAAGAAATTATCTTTGACACCGACATTATACATACGTTCTTTTGGGCTCGTTAACATAGATACTGCAAGCAATGCAAATAATACTGTATTCCTCCTCAGTGAATTTTCGTGTTCCCACAGAGTTGCGTTAAAGTGCATCCGCATCCAATAACAGCTGATTGATCAGCTGTGGCTCATGAAAACGTAAACAAAGATGGCTGAAGCGGACGATGTGGGAATAAAATGTATAGTTTATCAACTATTTCGGCTATTTAACAACAGCCAAACCACAGATTACGTCAGATTTATAAGCACTAAATTTAAATGAATTAGATGACAAGGAATTTGAGTTTCTGTTATGATTTTTCTCTAACAAAGAGCAAATGCCCCGAAGAGTGTGTATTGGTGGTATAGGCTTCCAAAATCTATAAAATAAAGTAGGGGTAGGGGCCTTATATTAAATAGTAGCAATTGGGGACACTTTTGGGCAAGAATATACAAAAAAAAAACGCCAACAACTATTTTGGGCATGATTGTAGCTTTGGCGCCACATTTTAAATTCCATATTTCAATTGTTCCTCGCTATCTTTGTTTACATTTTCGTAGTGAATGGTAAAATTTTCACTGATAAGATGACGAAATTAGAGTTGCACCGAAAAACTAGTTGCACCCAACTAAATGCCTAGATGCGTTCTAACGCGGTCTACAATGAGAAACTTCGGAACGGCAAAACATATGGGCAGTTTGTTCAACGGACGGTGAATGCGGTTTGACGCTCTGTGGGAAGACCCTATAATTCATTCATTCATAGAAACTGACAGACGACCAGACGGCCAGAAGGATATGGTTAAATGAAATCGTAATCGTAACACAATAAAATGGGGCTCTTAGGAGTCGCGAAGCTAGACAAGAAATTCCACATCGTAATGATGTTAGCCAGATCTCGATAACGACGCACAGTAGCGCTTTTTCACATTTTATGTTGCAAAAATAATAATTTGTGAACCAAATAAGATAATCGAATAATTTTAAATGAATGTTGGTTTTCGGTGTAATTATTGACAAAAACATCCGATATCAAAAAAATATAATAAATTAGTTAAATGGTTAAATACCATTGATCAAAATGATAAAAAACAAGAAAGGAAGCTAACTTCGGCACGCCGAAGTTTGTATACCCTTGCAGATTGGTTTTGATGCTTATATTATCGATTTAAATGCTGAAAACACTCACAGAACAGAGTTTCATTACATTTTACCTATACTTATTATGTTTACAGTTTGACAGTTACAGTTTTACATTCCCAACTTTATATATTTTATACAATTACCGATCGCTTCTATGGCAGCTATAAGATATAGTTGTCCGATTTTTATGAAATTTATACCAAAATTCTAGAATAATAAAAAAAAGCTTATATCTCAGAGTAGATAAACATACGTTGAAAAACAACGAAGCTATAATTTTTTTCCTATTCATTTGCCGATCGTTCCTATGGCAGCTATAAGATATAGTCGTCCGATTTTCATAAACTTTTTACCAAAATTCTGAAATAATATAAAATGGCTATATCTCAAAAATGATGCAAAAATATTGAAAAACAGCAAAGTTATAATTTTTTTTCTAAAAATTTATCGAACATTTGTATGGCAGCTATATGATACAGTCGTCCGATCCGGCCCGTTCCGACATATATAGCAGTGAGAGTATATAGAAGACTACTATATGCAAAGTTTCATTCAGATAGCTTTAAAACTGAGGGACTAGATTGCGTAGAAACGGACAGACGGACGGACGGACGGACGGACAGACGGACAGACGGACATGGCTAGATCGACTCGGCTGTTGATGCTGATCAAGAATATATATACTTTATAGGGTCGGAAACGTCTCCTTCACTGCGTTGCAAACTTCTGACTGAAATTATAATACCCTGCAAGGGTATAAAAACCTGTAAGCGCACTATAAAATATACAAATAGTTAATTTTTTCCTTTATGAGAAAAATTCGTGGTGCGGCTGAAAACGAGTGGTGGGGCAAAGCCCACCTTCCCCCTTGCCCCCTTGTTTTAGTTTGGATAACGGGGTATGAATGTATCAATCATTTAAAGTAAAAACTATAGGGTAAGGTGGGGTAAAGCCGACAGTGTGGGTAAACCCGACCTCCCTCTGTTTTCGAAAATCGGAAGCACTACGCAAACTAATATTAGTGTTGTCGTGTAGAGCATCGAAAACAATGAAAATGGTGGTATGACACCATTTTATTAGTCAACATTGAGATGGTCAATCGACAACAAGTTTGTTTTCACAATTTTGACTTTCATTTTTGTGCATAATTAACTGCAGGATATTTCTTTTTGTCAAAGTTATCGCATGAAAAGGTAAGTGGATTTAGATTCTTTGAATAAAGTCCTACAAAGTGCATATAAGTTTGGTTCATTTTTTTTCATAATTTCTTTTTTAATTGCGTTTTTATGAAAAATTACGTGGTGGGGCAAATCCGACCTCTAAATAGTGGGGTAAATCCTGCCGCAAAAAAGCCAAAAAAACAACAATCACACAAAAACCATCAACATCGCAGCCAACCAGACGTTCAACTCGAACCAAAAAACGCCAGCAAGCTATTTGAGCAGCGAATCAGATGATACTGATTAATTATTTTGCTATATTCATTTTTTTAATTCTATTATCTTTTATTACCATTATATAACGTAACATTGATTGATTTATCATTGCAAAACCTATATTTAGGTTATATCTGTACTAAATCAACCAAAAACATAGGCGGTCGGGTTTACCCCATCATTTTTGAACATAGCAAAAATGAACTTTTTCGTAAAACGCTTGTATCTCAAAACTTTTCAAAGGTATGAATAAAATGCTAGAAAGTTGCGCAAAGGTCTAACCTTTAATTTGGTATATATAAAGACTTGATCCGATGTAAAATAAGCATTTTATAGCCAAAACCATTTACTAGGTCGGCTTTACCCCACCTTACCCTAACCATTGGATATATATTTTCTGAGTAATTTTTGCTAAAAGTCGACCAATTAACCTTTTTCTAATGATATAAAAAACGAAGAAAATTCAACTTTAAATGCTCATATCTTCCACAAAAAAACCTTACAATAATTTAGTTGTAAATTCGATGTCCTTGGAAAATTTTCTTTCGGATAGACGTAGTTTGGCGATCATTACTTTTCTGATTTTTGCAACTGAATTTGTTTAGAGGCGCTACTGTGCGACGGTTAAAGAAAAAATATTTATTTCAAATTTTATAAATTATTGAAGCATTTATGTTTATGTTTATGTTTATGTTAAGTAAGGGTGGCCCCAAGGTTCGACAACAAAAAGAAAAAATAAAATTGTATAACTTTTATATGTTTTCACACAAAAATAATCTACACTCGATACAAAAAAATGCAGCCTATCGCAAATTGTTACTCACCGCCAATACCCATAATAGATGTGCCCATATTTATAGTGTTCGATGTGCTGGATCGTGGCGCTGTGCGTGAGCCACTGACAACTGACAGCGGTTCATTTTGGCGTCTATATGGCGTGCGCGGAATGTCGCAACTGTGAGGAAAGTGTACATTCATTTCTTAGTAGAACACTTGTCGTGCTTGCCTGCACTTACCCTCTTGCAAATATTGGAGTTTCTGGAAGACTGCATGATGTCTGCAGGCGGTGCTCCTCGCGAGGCGATTGCTTGAGGCTGCGCTTGGTGCCATAGTTAATGTACCGTCGTTGATAGGACCCGGAGCCGGATCCACAAGCCATTCCATCGATGGCGGGCATCGGTGGCAAGGGTCCCAGACCAGTGGGCGTGGTTATTCCGCTGCCGCCCCCGCTGCTATAGTGACCGAATAGCTTGGGGGACCGCTTTCGATACTGCGAGTCAATGCTCCACGATTTGATGGTGTTTGTCGAAGGGCCTCCTCCGCCGGCAACTCTATGCGGTGGCACCATTGGTGGTCCAGGCAAAACCTCTTGGTGAGCCGGAGCGGGAGGTGCTGGCAATTCGTCATTAAAATGGCGCACGGCGGTGACATTGTCGCGACTGCGGCGGGTGTGGCTGTTGCTGGTATGCACCGCCGCTCCAGAAGCGGTGGCATGCACCTCCACAACGGTGGTACCCCGATTCGGAAGTGGGGCACCGGCACTCGCCGCCACCGCGGCTGATGGCAGCTCCAGCTGCTTGCGGGGTTCAACTGGCGACGGCGGCAAGGGAGCGTCGTAATCGAAATCCGGAAGCTTGGAACTTGGAGGTGGCGATGGGGGCAATGGGCCAAAATTTGGCATCTGTGACAACAACATCTCCTTGGCACTCTCCGATTTGTGAACGCCGGGACGAAACTCCAGAATCCGCTTGGCGTGCAGCTCGGCAGCAGCAGCTGCAGAGAGTCCAACGGCTCCAACAGCTCCTCCAGCAGCATTGCTGCAACCAGCTTGCTGACCCACAACGGGAATGTCGCCGCGCAGCAAGGCGCTAATGTTATGCTCGATTTGCTGCAGTGGTGCACATCCAAAGCTCAGGTCGGAAAGCTCTTCGTCCTCCTCCAAAGTGGGAGCCAGATCTGTGTGGGGAGTGGTGGCGTTTGAGACACGCTGATCTGGATTGAGTAACAAGTTTATATAATTATTTTGTATTCATTACGAGCAAATGTTCGGTAAAACTTAAAAAAACCTAATTATCGTGGAACTAGTATGAATATTGCCTTTAAATTTAGTAGTCCTAGCTCTTAAAGTCTTATAGATTTGCTTTTGCAAATAGACGGACGGACGGCCATGGCTAAATTGACTCGGCTGGTGATGCTAATCAAGAATACATCAACTGTATGCCTCCTTCTGCCTGTTGCATTTGCACATTTTCTATATAACGCCATTGTTCTTAAGGGGGAAATACCTGTAAACGGTCAACATTTTGGTATTTTCGTGAATTTTGTTGTAAGAAATAGTCAAGCAATCATCGTGAGACTTTGGAAAAAGGGAATCGGAGATAAAAAATAAAATGTACTAGAAACCATATTTTGCAAAATGACGGACCTACAGTTTTGAGTTTTCCCGCTAAGGACACGATAGAGCTCGGAATTCCTGTCGAAAATACCCAAACAAAAATTATTTGAGTTTATTATACGTTTATCTTATATTTGAACCTAATAAAATTCCGTTTTGAAAAAAAAATTACATTGTCAGGAAGTTAGATGTCACTTCCCACCATTTAAAAAAAGTAATAATACTCATTTGTATTACATGCATTTAGGTTCAAAAAAAAATATAATTTCATGCTGATGATAATAGTTTTTTGATTCACTCAGATATGTTGCATAGTTTTTTGTGAATCGTGGCCGTATGTAGGTAAAAACTACATATGTACATACATATGTAGGTAAAAACGCTAAAATGAAAAGCTGAGAAAAAGCCGTTTAAAGTTTTGAATTCAACACTTGTATATGTACCATGCGTGCATACATGATTTAAGGTTCTTGGAATTTGATAATGAAACTTACATAGTAAATTCATTAAGTAACAAACTATTAAAAAAAAATTATTAAATAAAAAAAAATATAAAAATTTACCCAAAATTGTTTGCTTTACATGTATACCCCCCTTCATGGGTGTCGGGGATACAAGATTGTCTTTATAAAACCCACTACTAACCGCATGTCAATTCATGATGATGCAGCAAACACATTTTAACAAATACATTATAAGTAGTGCTACAATGCAGTAGTGATACAATCGATGTTTCAACAAAATCGGCCAACATCGATGTTCACTTGTCAAACATCGATTATTTTCAACTGTCACTTAAAAACCGAGCAAGAGGCAGAATTGGCATACTAGATCAAAAATTTTTTAAAATCGATTATTAATCGATGTTTTTTATGAAAGTACTCACAAACATCGATGTAAGCAAACATCAATGTTTTTCCAGCAATAATTATAAGCCACAATTTCATAATATACATAGAATACGTTCATATCTAAGAAACTTTCTCACCATTCCCGTTAAAGGCATACAAATCGAAGCTTCCGCTGCCATTTAGACGCGCCTCGTCGAACTCCTCGCTACTGGAGGTGTTGTTATCCGGCATGGACTCGGCACTGAGTCGCTTCTCGGTCAGCATCGCCGTCTTGCTCTTGGTGGGCTTGCAGTGACCTAGTTGATCCGCCGCATCAGCAATGTCCAGCGAGAGGGCTGCTCGTTGGGCGGCCGCCATTTCGAGTCCTCGTCGTGTTTGAGCCGCGTTAGCTTCGCACTCCTTGTACACGAAATTCATCTCGGCAGAGGTGGCGGCGGTCGGTGGATGAAGGGGCACGGGGGTGGGTAGGGGAAGTGGGAGAGGAGCCGCATCGCTTTGCTCGCTGTCGCTGGTGTAGAACTCGTTGCTAATTGCACCCACATTGGTTCCGCCGGACCCATTGCCTGTTCTCTCGGCCAACGAGAGGCGCGGCGGTTTCGGTATGCTAAAAACATCTGAGGCACGGGGCGGCTTTTTGGCCGTAGAACGGCGTATGATAAACGTTCCCTTTCCCAGCATACTTTGCTGGTTGCACACAAAGCCGCTACCAAAGTCGTCCGAGTGGTTTTTCTATTGGGTTGGAGAAATTTCATCAATAGTTTCCACTCTTATTTGTGGGTTACAGGAAAACTCACCTTTTTGGAAGCACCAGAAGTGGAGGTCTTCTTGGAGCCACAAGTTTGCTTTTTAGTATTATTCTTGAAGTGGATCTCCCAGGCTACTCCGTTCTGCTTAACAGGCGTAAGATCAGTCGAGATAGTAGACTCCTCCAGTGAATCTTCCGAGTAGTCCTCATCACCCCGGCCAACCGCAAGCTTCGATGTCGCCACATTAACGTGCGAGGCAGCCGGCGAGGCCTCGCCGCTCGAATTAGACGACGAGGCCGAGGAGCTGTTGGAATGAGGATGGAGCATGTGGCACACCTCCTTGTGCTTCTCGACCGAACTGAGTAGCCGCTTTCCACGCGCTCCCCCCTCTCCGCCTGCAGAGGACTTTGAGGAGGAGGGTCCCGGATAGATGGTCACTGGATGTTCGTTGACGATCGGCTCCGGCAGTTTGGCCAGATTTCCTCGGAGAACCGCATTGTGCACGGCGCTAATATCGATTCCCAGAGCGTTGCGTCCGCCGTTACAGCTGCCGCCTGCCTGTCGGATGGCTGCCAGTCCACTTGAGGACTTGCCACCAGAAGTACCGACCAAATTCGATGTCCTGCTGGCCCCGCAACACGGAAGACTCGAAAATTTCGAGTCGCTCGCAGGAGTCGAGCTTGAACTCCGTGCCTTTGGCTAAGTGATGATGGTTAAGAGAGGAGCAGAGGTGATGCAGTGAGTTAATTGGTTTCCCATTAGCACTACCGTACTCACCAGCGTTGTTTGAATCAGCGGTGTTGTGCTTTTCTGCCCCTGCTCCTCCGCCTCATTTAATTTAGTTAGATTCTCCGCCGTACCATCCTCATTGAAGCTGCCCTCCGGCACGGTGTCGGTGCTGGGCGTCTGTGGCACATCTTCCGAATCCTTCTTGGACATGCTGTCGGTGCAAAATTCAACATGTTATGGCATTCAATGGTTACACTTTAAATTATCGGTAAAAAAAAAAACAATCAACGCGAAAAATGCAACTTGAAAAAATCTTGTGACGTTACACATCTATCTAGTAGATAGTATCTACCTCATTCGGGGACAACATTCTAGTAAAAGAGTAAGATCAAGATCAATTTGACCACCGCAATCTGAATGCAGTGAACAGGAAAAGCAACTCTAATATGTCACGTCCATTTATTAAATAAGGGAGATGAAATGTTTTATAAGTTTTGTTATTTTGTTTTGCATTGCTTTTCTCTATAAATGCTTAACATCTTATCAATATCGTGTCCAAGTCTTTCATCGATCAGAGCAAAACTAAACTTATTGATAGTGCATCGGTTTAAGTGTTCAATGTATGAGCATGCCATTTGGATGTCGGTGTACATGATTACTAAGAACTCACTGAATTGAATTGCTTCTTAGCAAGGAGGAGGAGGAATTAAAAAATCAAGTCAATAGAACGGTAAAGCAGAGTGATTTCTTGTCACCAACTTTGGTAGCTTTACGCTCGATTTGTAGGACGCCATCTTCTGCCTTTGCGTATAATCACAATATGCTGTGACGTTGCTTACCTCATTACTATATTGACATTTTGTAAACAATACTAACTTTTTACGACTAAGACTCATGTAGCCATCGTCCTCGGACTGATTCTCCCCACTATTACAGTTCAAGGCATTCGGTTTTGTTGCTGCCTCTTCGAACTCAGAAATGATGTCGTCAAGCACCTTAATGGGCTCCGGTATGTCATCCAAGGAGATGGGCTCCAGAGACTGCAGTTGATCATCGCTATAAAAACATGAAGTTAAGAAAATTTAAAACGGGTCTACAACTTTATAAATTCAAGTGAGTTTCATATACGAGGTCTAAAAATTGGTCTTCGTTTAAAGTCACCTGCTTGCAGTGTCGGGAAGTATACATTTTGTACTCATTTGTAATTGTTTTATTATATTAACTTACTGTTGTATTTCTAATTCAGAAGCAGCTGCATATGAATCTGGATCTACTAGAGCCTCGACCTCCGCCTCCTTAGAATTTGATGCTGCCTGCGAATCCGGCTGCCCACCAGAATAAAGCGCATCGTCGCCGTCCTCCTGTCCGTTTGCATCGCATAATACACACGATTCAGGTGACGCTTCCATTATACGATTTTCATTGAAACCATCGACGATCTTCTCTGCAGTTCCTCTTTTAACTTTGGGTTTATTATAAAAATGTAATCAAAGCATCCACAAACATCGACGTCGCTGTAACTGGCGCCTCCGTCAGCGTTGCGACGGACGTTTCCTTTTTGCCGGCGATTTCAATTTTCATCTATTTGTATTTGAAAGTACAAACAAGAGTTAAAATTCACTTTCCTGAACTATAAATACCCTACACTTTCACTTGCCACGGCCAAAATATACCCAGAAATCTCAGAGAATGTACTAGAAGATCTTAACGGAAATCTCCACTTCTCTTTTCTAATCTCCTAATCTCCAACGCATATATCCTACTTCAAACTCAACTCGCCAACTGGGACCTGTTTAAGGGACAAATACATAGCTTAAGGCTTACCAAATCTAAAAAAAAAGCTTCAGATGAAAGATTCTTAAATCAACATAAACACCGAAACCGTGATAGAGTACAAGAAAGCAAACGCCAAAGTTGAGAGATCAATCAGGAAAGGTAAAGGTCTCCTCCATTTAAAACTTCTCCAAAATCCTAATCTTGGTCTATCAAAAGTCTGGACAAACATCCCACAAGACGTACATATACACACAGTGGCGGATCCACGGGAGGGGGAAATTTCCTAATTTACCCCCCCCTTGGAACCTGAAAATTTTACTATCTGGCAGTGTTCCCAACCGTTACATGATTATCCTATAGTATAGGACCTATACGATAATACTGTACAATTGGCACTATTAAGTATGAAAACACTCAACGCATGGTGACGTTTCATTTAAATCCGTTAATCTCGCCAAAAACGCCTCAACTTGACTGTCCAATAGAATAATTTTCTGTATACACAGCATCTTACAACCAAAATAGGAGATATGATTTGAGACCTATGGTCAGAAGACCCAAAATTTCCCTCCGATCCTTCTCAGTCCACTTAATAACAATGTTCCATCCCCAACAGCACTAGAAATATACATCTATAATATAATTAGCATCCGCCAAGAAGTAAGGACACTCACCAGGACCAAAATGCATATCTTATAAATTGACAACACCCAATTCCTTCAAATTCGGGATGCTTCAGCACTTTGACAACATCCTTGATTCCCACATTCTAAAACCCATTTCACGTAACCCATGTATAGCCAAAGTCTTGACGAAATCAAAGCGCACAGGTAATGGTGTTTTAACCAACAGACTTATTTGTAAAAATCTATTCGGTTTTAAATAATGCAAATCAGTTTAACACAGTCTACTTAATGAATACTGAAAATCCTTGTCCTTTTTTTTCAGAGACTATTTTTAATTGTGTATCATATATTGAAAATAACGGAAGCATAGTCAATTGAGTAAAAAATTGTTTAGGAAATCTTCAGAACTCATTAAATCCTTTGCGGGTTGAAAGTAAAAAAACTTCGAAGCACACTTCAAGGGAATTATTGAGTTTTTCCCGAGTCGTTCCTATGGTTTTATCCTGTTCTTTTTTTTTTTGTGGCTGTGGAGTTGGTTCTGTCCTGTTCAAAAAAGGATAAAAATAGTATATCATACATGCTGCAAGGAATAGTATAATGTTTGGATATGGGCATTTCCACAGAAAGGTCAACCGCGGCCAAAACACTAAAACTTCTCTAAAAATTTTTTTTTCCAACATAGTAACATAAGGAAAAGGCCAATTGATTAAATTTGAAGGGCTATATCATATTCTAAAACAAATTTCGAAATATTCGAATGCATATTCGCGCAAACACGATTTTTCATTATTTTGATGAAAAACATCATAAAAATGGACCTGTTTTCTTTTGTTAATTACATCCAAACCGAGGCATTATGCTTTGACTGTTGTTTACTAACATCCCTAGAAGAATGCAAAAAGTCGAAATAAAATAGAAATATGCTCTTCCAATTTACTTATAATAGTAAAAATTACATGCAAAGTAAGATAAAAAAATATGTCGCGTGCGACATGTCGCGTGCGAATATGATTAAAATTAAGTAAAAAATAAACTACGCTATATTTTTGCTTGTAAATTAAAGCATATGAAAGTGACATTATTGCATCATATTTTAAAATTTGTTTCATTAAAATAGTCCCTGCCGTTTCGTTGAAATCAGTGTTTAAACAGCTCGCCGCGAAAGTGACTTCTGTTTTTGTCGCGTGCGAATCCTTCAGTTTTTTTTAATTTTCTTAAAATTGAGCAAACTCTCAAAATCAACATTTGCACCAATTATAGTCCTAAGCAAGAGCTATAAGTTAACATTTATAAAAATAAAAAAAATTAAATGTACCATACTTTTTTTTTGATTTGAATGCGTACGAATGTCGCGTGCGACATTATGGAAATGCCCATATACTCTATAGCAAAAAAGCCAAGTCTATATCATTACAATTGGACATCCATGTTCTATAGATTTTGTTGTCTACTAAGGTTTGTATTTAGAGCTTTCTGACAACATGTGCGTCTAGCAATATGTCTCTTATTTAAATGCGGGTGTTTGTGTTTAAGAAAAAAGTAAATATCTCAGAGTAGCTGAAAACAGTGAAATTATTTTTAATTATTTTCCCGAACGTTCCTATGGCAGCAATATTATGATATGATATGATACAGTCACATTTTCATAAAACTAAAACCGAAATTCTAAAATAATACAAATGACCATGCCTTTAAGGGGGTCTTCTCATTGGGCAACTTTTTTTTCGATTTTTTTTTTTTGCATTTATTTATAGCTTGGGATGGTGTGTATATGTCCCCAAAAGGATTTTTAGAAATTCGAAATACTTTAGAAGATACAGCCTTTTTTGTAAAGCAAGGTCTTCGCAAAATGAGCTTTTTTCAAACTTCAAACCACGTTTTTCGAAACCACGTTTTTCGAACTGGCGGCCATGATATCTCCAGTTCAACTGAACCGATTTTCATGAAACAAAGTGGAATCGACGCAGAATTGTCACCATTTTCGGCTGACGGAACAGATTTTTTTTTTTTTTTTTTTTTTTTTTTTTTTACACTAAACTACAAAAAAAACGGCCGAAATCGAATTTTTTTTTTTTTGAACGGCCGCCATTTTGTTTTAAAAATTTAAAAAAAAATCTGTTCCGTCAGCCGAAAATGACATCAATTCTGATTATAACCCCGTTTTTATTTTTCATTTCGGACGCTCTGGAGACCCTGAATCGTGGCCGCCAGGACGACACCTTTTTTTTCGACCACCAAGTTTAAAGTCTCATTACTCTTTGAACAACCCTCGTATCGAGGCAAGAACAACTTTTTTAGTTACTTTGAACATTTTTGAATACAATAAATAAAAAAAATTTTCAATTATTCTTTGCGTTTTCAAATAAGAATTTTTTTAAAAAGGGTCCAAAAAACGGCTTTTGAATGAGAAGACCCCTTTAAAGCGGCAAAATATAACTAAATAAAATTATATTCTACAAAATATAAATATTATTATTATTATTCTAAAAATTTTCAGATTGTTCCTATGGCAGATATATGACATCCGATTCGGCCCGTTTCGACTTATATATTAGTGAGAATATAGTCAGAAGACCACATAACTGCAAAGTTTCATTTAGATAGCTCTAAAAAAAAAAAGACTACTTTGCTTAGAAACGGGCAGACTGACATGACTAGATCGATCCTGCGCTTTATGTTGATCAAGAAATTTTATATGTATGTATATGTTACAGTATTCGGTCAGAAATTACTTATTTACTGCACTGCAATCTTCTGACTTAAGGGTCCATTCTGGTTAGTTGTGCCAAAAAATAGGCAATCTTTAGGAGAGATAGGAGACATAGAAAGTTCAAACTTTGCACGTTTATTTCTCATAATTTAGAGATGATTTAGCACAAATTATCAAAATTTTTAGAGGCATGTCCTAAAGCAGGACACAGGACGACGTAAGCCAATGCCAAAAAAAGGAACCCCTCTATTTTTTCGTTTTTCGTGAAAATTCTCTTCTCTTTGTTGATTAAAAATCCAATATATAACTTATCAATGTAATTCTAGTCTATTCCATGGACACCTTCATTACAAGTATTAAAAAAAAAAAAAAAAAAAAAAAAAAAATTAAGATTCGTTAAAAATTGACTGAGATAGGACGATCGCCAGCTCGAAAAATGTAGTTTTCCAGAAAACGCGTTTAAAGTTTTATGTTTGCTCTGTACCTCCTTTAAGTTGGCCGGCTCGGAGGCTCATAACTTTTAAACTATTACGTATTTTGTTTTAGTATAATATTCTGACACTTATAACTATCAAAACATGAAAAAAAAAAGATTTTTTTAACTAACCCTTAAATTAGTAATATCCTGCAAGGGTATACAATTACCAAGAAAAAAGTACTACAAAAACAAATCAATGAATGCATTTCATATATTGTTTTTTTTTTGTGTGTAAGTTTGGCGACTGTGAAATTGCTTCGAAATTTTCAACACCTTTTCATGTAGGGGAGAGTGGGGATAGGTGAACCACGGGCATAGATGAACCACTACACTAAATTTGGAAAGCAAATAAACTTTGCACAACAAAAGATAGTATTTTTGCATAATACTTAATATTCCAAGGAATGTGGGCTCTTTTAGATTTCTATATACAGCAGACCCTTACGTCGAATTGTTCAGACATAATAATGTTAATAAGAAAAAAGTGGTTCACCTATCCCCACTCTCCCCTACATATGTACATATGTACCTTGGAGATACATATGACTTTATATATTTCCAAATCTTGGTTTTCATTTGATATAAATCATACGATTACATTATATATGTATGTAAATACATATATATGTAAATATTTCCGTAGTCTAGTCTGTAAATGTACATATACATACGTACACTTCTAGTGATTTTTGTACGATTTAAAAATATGCTTTAAATTCATTTAAAATCTGACAGCTATATACATACATATGTACATAGCTGCCATAGACAGATTGGATTTTTATAAAACGATAGTTAAATCAGCTCAAAAATTGTGATTATATTTGTTACAGACTTTAATGTTTCATTGAATAATTTAAATCGAATAGACAAACTTGCAAACTGCAGACTTTCTTATTGTTTGTTCTTCATTAAACATCATTTTTACAAAAAAAAACTCTCGATACTTTCATTTGAAACCATTCTGAGCAGAGCGAGAAGACAACAAAAGCAACAACGTGAGAAGCACGCTATTCGCACTCCTTATGTTGCCGCTGCCTTCATTCATATTTTCTATACACTTTGGGGTCGTCCTCAGTGAGAGGAGTTTGAGTCAGGCGCATTCATACAGACTTTTTGTCGACCCCCCCTCCCCCCCTTACACACGCGCGCACTCATATTCTCTGTGATGCTATGTATGTTGAGAATATATATATGTAAATTTATATATGTACATAAACACGTTTTTTCTTATTTTGCCAATAGTTGGCCTAAAAAACACACATGTATGTACATATGTATGTTCATTTATAACGGATACAATCAGCGATATAAAATAAAAGTTTGCAACATTCGAGTTTCTAATACGGGAAAAATTCATTTCCGGGCCTATTATCGGCGAATATCTGTGCAAGTCGGGCTCTAACAGTTCAACCATAACACCCACACGCCCCAATCACTGACTTTGTCTAGCTGTAAAATGTACTGCTGCACTCGGCGTCGTCGCTGCTTTGGCTTCTGCTCTTCTTTCTTTGCCTTTCCTTTCCTTTACTGAATGAAGTTACAGCAGGGAGTCTGGAATCGATTTTTTTTACACATACATACACATGCAGACGCGAACACTGAAACTCCGGCACACAAACGCACTTACACGAGCTCTATTTTTTGTCTTTGCCTAATAATTACATTTGAAAGCTTTTGCTAACATGTCAAAAGGTCAAACCCAAAGTCTTCCAATTGGAAATGTTGCTAAAAATAGTTTAACTCAAAGCGTGGGCAAAACAGAGACAGAGAGGCCGGAGAGAATGGGAAAGAGCGAGCGAGCGAGTGGGTGGTAATTGTAATGACAGACGCCACGGCGACGGTAACGCAACGGTAACAAAGCAAAAAGCAAACTCTGGGCAATTACCGAGGGCATTTCGCATTTTGCGAACTAACAAACAAAGCTCGATCCTACACACATGCGTACCTATGTTCGAGCACTTCGCGTTTAAAGCCGCGTTTTAAGCCTTCGTCTCCCAAGCAACCGTCCAGCGAATCGACCTTTTGTTTATGACCCGAGCGTTGGCGAATCTAGGGATGTCAGAGATTTATTCATATACTGAAATGTCATTATCGATAATTTTACGTGCATCCGAAGTGAGTGCTATAAACGCCGGCTGCGACCTGTGACTGTCTATACACTTGTTTATTTACTGTTGGTCGTGCTATTGGATATTAAAATTAAATTTCTGGCTTATCAAGATCTCTCATAAATACAAATACTATTAAAAAAAATATATTTGCTTTAAAAAAAGAAATATTTTTTACACTTTAAATGAAATTTCCGCATGAAATCTCCGTAATATCCAGGGTATCCAGAAGATGAGGATCTCTAGCGTTGTATAGACGATATGTTTAGCCGGATAGAGGACAACCCAAAAGCGACACCCGCTATATTTTCAACAAAAAACCTTTCGCAATTCTGTCAGTCATATGTCTAGATTTCTAAATATATATGGCTTAAACTACTGAACCTCTTATTTAGCAAGTCAAAACCTTGATTTCTACAAACTGTGTAACAGTAAACAGACTAAATATATCGAGAGAGTACTAAGTAAGAAACAGCTGTTTCCAGCTGCCGATATTTTTAGCACCCCAATTGTATTCGATTCTTTGAAAACTACTCGATTTGTCTGCGTTTTTATCGATATTTTTTTTGCCAGCCGGAAATCGATATTTTACCTTACCAAACGGACACAATAAAATTTTGATGTAAAAGCAGCTTTATTAAAAACTGACTCAAAATCTTCGACAAATTTTTAAACAGCTATTGTTAAGTGTCCTACAGCCCATTTTTCATTATTAATTATTAATTCCGAACATAAATTTACTGTTAGACAACTTTGCTCGAAATATAAACTACACATAGAGGTAGTCAAAATTATTTACACAAATGCAAAATTATTTGCACATCCTAACTTCTTTCAGTTGGTTTTCTTGTTCTTGACGACCAATTTTTCTTATTTTTTATCGCGTAGCTTGATCTATGCAGAAGCTATCTAAAGAGGTATACGAAAGATAACGGCTCATAAGACAATGCTAAAGGCAAGAGCAAATATGTCTATTTATTTTGGCCATAGCTTAATAAGCTCAATTCCAGACAATGGAAAGCCTTAATCGATGCCAAACCTAAATTTTCTAATTATTAATAAAGTAAGTTAAAAACATTAATAAAATTGAACAGAATTAAATTTAGGGCGAAAACAAATTATGCGTAAATACGACACTTTACATTCACCTTTTTTTTTTTTGCCTTTAGCAATGTCCTATAAACCGCTATCTTTTGCATCCCTTTTTGGGTTGCTTCTGCATAGATCCAAGCTACATGTTAAAAAAAATTTAAGAAGTGATTACCAGGAATTTGACTATTTTATCTAGCCTAGAAACCCCCGCAATCTAAATCGACTGAAGTTTGTACCAAGTTTTTGATTTCGTATATAAACTTAAGCATGTAATCATTTACTTGATTTATTATGTTGTTGTTTTACTGTTATACAATTAATAATCATCAAAATTTCTTTAATGTTTTTGTGTGTTTTTATTTGATTTAAAACACTGCCAACGGCCGCAGATGTATTAGTTGGCCAACTGGATTTGCATGTCGTTTTCGGTATCTCCACTTTGTTCTAGGTTCCTCCCGCTCAGCCAGCTGCACATGGATGTTCTTGTGTGGGGATTGGGTAGGGAAAAGATGGTGGCTTACAACTTGTCCAGGTACTGGGACAGATCGGGGAGACCCTCCTTCAGGCCCTTGCGTTTACGCGTATCCTGGACAATCTGGTAAGGCTTGCTAGAAGGCTCGGACGGATCGCCGGGCAGCACTTGCCAATGATCGAAGACGCACTGAGGGAAGGCCTGGCCACCGGTGTTTGAGCGCAGATCGGCAGTGAAGCCGAACGACTCGTTGACGGGCAAATATGCCTTCACCACGAACATGGGCGTGCCCACGACCTGGTTCTCCTCGAACACATGGCCACGACGCCTGTTCAGCACACCATAGATACCACCAACAGCAACCTCGGGACATTGGATCTCGCACAAATAAACGGGCTCCATCAAACGCGGCTTGGCGGTGATGGCGGCGGCGTACAGACAACGACGAGTAGTTGGAATGATCTGGCCACCTCCACGATGGATAGCATCGGCGTGCAGGGTCACATCGTAGATGTTGAAGCGAACTCCGCGCATGTTCTCGTCAGCCAAGATACCCTCCTTGGAGGCCCACTGGAAGCCAGCAACAACGGAGTCCTTGATTTCGTTCAGGTACTGCACGGACTTGGTGCAGTCGAGGACAAAGTTGGGTCCTGTGCCGTCGGGACCAAAGCACCAGATCTTACGGGCCTCAGTCACATCGTAGTCGTACTTCTCAGACAGGTAACGAGCACGGGACTTGAACTCATCCTTGGAGCTCACGTCACCATTGTCAATATCTTCGGGCAGACCATCAGGCATGGGCAGGGCCTTCATCAGCAGACGGTTGTGCTTGTTGGGCGACTTTGACAGACACATCTGGTCGGACTCCTCGGACACAGTCTCGCGGTACGACACAACGGGATCGGACTTCTTCAGGGGGATGCAAGCGTGGTCTTCCTCCAGATCCTTCAGACAAATCTCCAAATGCAGCTCACCGGCACCAGCAATGATGTGCTCTCCAGACTCCTCAATGATGCACTGCACCATAGGATCGGATTTGGCCAGACGCTTCAGACCCTCCACCAGCTTAGGCAGATCAGCGGGATTCTTGGGCTCAACGGCAACACGCACGACGGGCGAAACGGAGAACTTCATGACCTGAAATCAGAATAATTTTACAATTAGCAAGATGGAAACAAATGAAGATAAATCCTATCAAGTTACTGTTACTGCAGTAAGCAAACACCGTGATTTACCTTCATGTTGTGTGCATCCTTGAAGGTAGTAATGGTGCCAGTCTTGACCAGGAACTGATCGACACCGACAAGACCGCAGATGTTGCCAGAAGGCACATCCTCAATAGCCTCGACGTAACGGCCCATCATGAGAATGGTGCGCTGAATGGCCTTCTCGTAAAGATCTTCCTTCTTGCCGGGTGTATAGTTGGGGCCCATGATGCGGCACTTTTGGCCAGTGGCCACTTTGCCGGCGAACACACGGCCGAAGGCGTAGAAACGACCCTTGTCGGAGGTCGGCACCATCTTAGAGATGTACATCATGAGGGGACCATCGGGGTCGCAGTTCTTCACGGCGACAGCAGCCTCATCATCATGGGGACCCTCGTACAGCATCTCCATACGGTACTTCTGGGCAACCACAGGCGATGGCAGATGAATGGCAATCATCTGAAGTAGAGCCTCACCAGCTGGCAACCAGGTGCGCATAACGGTTTTAAGCAGAGCCTTGCCGTCCTTGTCCTTGTCCTCGTGCTTAAGGGTCACTCCGATCTTCTCAAGCAACACACCAATCTCCTCCTTCTTGTAATTCATGATGGCATCGAACACCTTGTAGATGGGATCCAAGATGTACATGCAGAACGAACGCTTGTTATCGGCCTCCTTCTGCTTCTGCCACTTCTTGGTCTTGGCATTGAAGAAGTTCTCTCCCCACAGACTGTGAACACATAAAACAGATAGGATTCATTGTTATGGGCTAATCATTTACCCTTAGAAAAGCTTTACTTATAAATATATGAAAAATTTAAATCTTCCCGGAAATAATAAAATATGTATATATATAAATTTGTATACTGTAAGATCTCTGCCTTGGCATGCCTCGTTGGGACATTAAGAAAGAGGTCCCGAGGTAGCGTTTCAACAGGTTTCTCAAATTTGCTCTGCTTCTATTTTTATAGCACTTGTGGCGCCATCACCATGCGCGACTCTACAGAAAGTACCCCTAGGGGAGTCTCCAAGATGCCGAGCGCTCAGCGTCACACGTTTTGTGCTAGAAGCGTGACATAAGTCTTTCAATAAGATCTACTCACCGGTTCATTAGCTTCACCACATCAATCTTGAACTTTTCAGAGTACATCTCAGAGAACTGCTTGAGGGTGAAGGCCCACCCGTGCAGGCCCGAGCCGAAGCCCACGGATCCTCTGGAGGGGTCCACGCGCACCTCACCCATCGGACCACCATCATCGTTGTAGGTGGCAATAATGACATTCACGTTCTCCACGATGCGCTGGAAGGTCTGGTACAGCTCCTCAGCATCCAACTGCAGCTCCAGCAGGGCACGGTCCATCTTGTTCATGAACAAAATGGGCTTGATGCGCTCGGCAATAGCCTGACGCAACACGGTCTCAGTCTGCACGCACACGCCGGATACGCAGTCAACGACGACCAGGGCACCGTCGGTCACACGAAGAGCGGCGGTCACTTCGGAAGAGAAATCCACGTGACCGGGCGAGTCGATCAGGTTAATAAGGAAACCCTTGCACTCCTTCTCGCGCTGATCGGGCTGGGTGATGAAGACCAGATCCTTGTCTTCCACTTCGAAGTACATGGAGATAGCGCTGTATAAATTTAAGAATGTTTAATTTTGTATGCCCGAAGCCCATTCAAATGTAGGATTCTTACGTCGACTTGATGGTGATGCACCGCTCCTGCTCATCCTTGCGGGTGTCGGTGAAACGAGTCTCACCGGCCTTCGCTCCGGCAATAATTCCGGCCTTAGACACGAGCGAATCGGTCAGGGTGGACTTGCCGTGGTCAACGTGAGCGATCACAGACATGTTGCGGATGTTCCGCTTTTTGTCCATGAGGCCACGGATTTCGTCGACGGTGAAGTTGACCTACAAAAATAATAGGACACATTATGTATTAGAAATAGGTGCTTTCAGATGTATATATGTGCGGTTATTAAAAATGGCGTCTACACACACTCACACACAAACTTTAAAATCATGTCATGGACTTTGAGGTTAGATAAGAATAAAAAACCAAATGCGCCGCCTATATACTGTGAAATCATTTCGCTCGCACTAACACTCACACCCGCACCGCAGCATCGAAATATAAAATTAGATGGCTGACCCTCAAGCACTTAAAACTTTTACCCAGACATGCCCAATTCTTGTGAAATTTCAATAGCAAACTGCATACGTCATTCTACACTTGTACTATTTTCTTGCCTTTGTCTTGCATTTCACCACACACACACACATGCATTCTTGCACATATATAGAGAAGTAGATATTGGCCAGGTAACAGTTGTCACGTCTGCACTTTTCCACACAACTTTTCACTTATTTCCGTATGCCACATATTTTAAATCGCCACAAGGAACTCTAGGTCGGTACTTTCTCCACCACTAAATGCCATTACTTCAGTTTAAAATCACCTACCATTTTGGATGTTTGGAGATTTTCTCGCGGACCAAAAAAACACTACACGCCTGAACTGGCGTTTCGACAGGAAAGAGCGTGCGACGGAACAGTGTGACCGAAGCGTATACACTGTAACATACCGTCTTGCGCGAAAAAATACTCTAATATTCGGAAAATACCAGGTATCATGATACAT